ACAGCCACTACTAACGTGCCGTTATGCTACAAGTTCTGGGACATTAAATATATACACACTGGCGAATACAAATACACATTAGAGCGCAGTTTCGGCTTGGTGGAGGCACCATATAGTACTGAGCGAAGCTTGTGCAAACCAAGTTATGAAAAACTGCAAAGTCTTGCAGTCAGAGTGTACCTCTTGTGTTATTTTGCAGCTTCACTCGGGCCAACAGACCTTGCTGAATTGGACCTACTTGAGAATAACTAGCAAAAGGAGCTAGCGAAGTGCAAGATGCCCCTCCCAAGCCGAACAGCGCCGTACACGAACGGAGGCATGGAATTCATACAATAGAAGCGGAGTACATCTCGCTACCAATGCCGGACTTCTCCACCGTAAACTCGTCCACATTGCTCAATCCATCATCGTCGCTAACTTGGAGGCGCGCGATTATTGTGAGCGGCGGAAGGTTTTCAGGAATCGGGAGCTGAAAATTTACGATTGATAAACAATTGAGGTGCAGCCTGAGAGTTTTTCAGGACACGGTTAGTACCAAGCAATACTTTTCGGGTCCTAGCCCTTTACAGAGCCCTTTCATAGTGATTATTGCACGGGACTTTCAAAATACTGAGCAACGTTGTTCTTCGTATTTCTAGACAAAAGAAGACTTAAAATGGGATTTTTGGTAAAAAGGGTAAGCAGAAAAAGAGAGTAAACCGCTTTTTCTCTCCAGTGACTTGTCGCTTCTTGGGACACCTTAGAAGCGTTCAGACTTCGCGATGCCGCGCGCAGACGCATCATAGGGCGCGTTAAGCGCTACCAATGCAAGGGCGTCCCAATGCTACAGAAGCGAACGCAGCCGCAGACGGGAATCGGTCGGCGCTGGCCACTTGTGATTTGAGAGAATAGCGTCGTCGTGAAGTTTATACGCTGTCTTAATGCCAATATCCCTCCAGAGGAGTAAAATAAAAAACACGAGTAAGGTTCGGAAGAAAGCAGACCTCATTATTGAGACCTTCTTTCTCTATGACAGGTGCGTTATCGTCCATATTCACAACGGTGATTTTCAGCTCCGCTACGGATTCATATCCATTCGAGCCCGTTGTGAATTTGAGCGACATAACACGATCGGAGGGCACCATATTATCCACGTCCAGGCGATGGGCGATCGAAATCGCTCCTAAGCAAAGAGTTTTACAGAATGGCTTCAGAATTATCGACAGTCACGAGTACCTGTTGACGGGTCAAGACTGAAAGCGTCCTTCATATCGCCCTCCATTCTTGACGGAACCAGTGATCCATCCAGGGGATTAACCGCAGGCAGAGTGTAGATAACGTGCCCTTCAGGTAGCTCCTCCGGAATGCTCAGCTGAACCAAAGTTGAGAATATGAAGATGAATGAAACCGATAGCACACCCTACCTCAATTACTGGTGTCTCTTTGCTCCACGGACGTGCAAACACTGGCCGTGCGGACTCTCTTCTACGATTCTCTATGAACTGAGGCGACGAGGTTAGAGAAAGCATGACAGTTGCTGGAATAAGTAGTTGAGTAATAAACAGGGGTTCCACTACAGCACATTTCGCGCAGGTCTCTTGCATCAGTTCTGATTCCCACCGTATCGAACTGATCACTTTGATTCCAGCAGAAAGACAAACCACGCTGAAGTCGCCCGCCAAGTATACTACAAGCAAGTTGAGATGTTTGCAGTTAGATTATAGGGAGTCTTTACAGTAGCATCTGTTGTACTGCGACCTCGGCGAGGCCTTGGAAAACTAAAGATGATTCCTTCTAATATTATCTTCTACCATTTATCCTTTAGCGACCCGTTTTTTTCACACAAGGCTAATGATCCAGTGCAGATACAAACCATGGTTCTCAATAACATAATGCTAAAGTACATGGCCAAAGCTTGACTAACTGTTATATAACCTTGGGGGTGACTTTTAAAGTGCTCCTTGTGCAAAACTGGTATTCTCTCAGAGGAGATGGGAACTACCAGTTTGGCCTTAAAGGCAGTTGGCACGATGGTTTCCTACTCGGCCTTAAATGCTAGTAGGGCGCTGTATAGTGGGGAAATGGCGAAGAACGGAG